AACCCGATGAGCCCTGAATGCTACACTCATACAAAGTCCTAGCAACCTGCATAATTTGCACCATAAATCCAGATCACGGCGGCGCCTCCAGTGCCTTGGAGCTGTCCTAGCTGTCGAAAGGGGCTTCGGGGTTTTTATTGCTTGGGATCAGGTGATTTTCCGATGCTTTCGTGGGATGCAGGAGCACAATAGAGCACTAGAGGGAGGGGAATGATTTGCAGACTATTTTTCATAGAGGCACGTGAAGCCTTGCTAGAGTTTCCCGGTCCCATTTCCAGTCCCCCTTCCTGAGAATGACCAGAACTTTGCTTGCTGAGCGGCACAAAGCGATACCGAACCTTTGTCGAGGTTTTTGCTATGGGCCCATGCGAATTAGAGACAGCTGGCACGCCTGCAATCAACCCTTGACCCCATATCCGCCAGAACACGCGCAACTGAAGCCAGGCCACCCATACACTGACAGCGGACCCGTCACAAGATCCAGTGCGTCAAGCCGCTTTTCTTGAAGTTCCAGTTCAAAAAGCAGCACGATTTGGATGGGTGAGGTCGCAGATTAGAAGTGAGGGAAAGTTAAAGTGAAAAGGCATCTGTGGTATGAGGTTGGGAAGAACCTAAGTCCTTGGTGGAGGTTTGGCTCCAGTCCACACAGTGCCCGAGCACCCTCTCCGGGATGCGGTGCCCATTCCAGTATACAAGGGCAGAAGGTTGCATCACCGCTGCGCAAGACATCTGGTCAGATTGCTCTCTTTGTTGTTGTTGTTGTTGTGCATCTTGCTAATGATTCGGGGAGCTTGAAACGAGGCGATTCTGCAGCGAAGACGGTTGCGAAACAAGAGCACACAAAGCAACACGTCATGCCAGATTCACAGACGATGTCGCGAGAAGACGAGCCATATCCCCTCTGCATGGCTGCACGAGCGCTCTGCCGTGCGGGGCGAATCAAGCCGATTTTGGCCGAGAACGGGGCGAGGTCTCTGGCATGACGCAGGGTCGCCTCCTGCAAGCTTCCACGAAGTGACTACCCCGGCAAGGGCATCTGCCGTTTGCTTGTCCCTTGTGGGCGCCAACCATGGGAGCACCAGACCGGCATTTGGGAGTATGCTGACTGCAGCGGTCATTGGGGTAGGCTCGGTTCACAAACCGGTGGGATGTGCCAAGGGCATGATGGCTGCACGAGACTGAACGCTCAAAGTTAAGCACGTGCGTGAATGCACCGGTGCACTAGCCACTAGCCGGCCAGTACCATTCCGAGAGATTGTTTCCGCAGTTGTTCCTTGTTTCCACATTGTCGGGAAGTTGTCCATTTCGGAAGTTGCTCAGCAAGCGCCCTCCAATCAACTGGGAACCCAAGCTCTTTGTAAATCCATTAAATCGGTCAAGCCATGAGGGAAGCCGCACTGTCGTCCGCAACTGTTATCTGACAGGTGCGCCTCCACGTCGATCGACCACATCCTGCCACCGTGGCGTTGAATGCACCGTACTTTGTCCGAATCCAGAGCTCGAGGGGTGAAAAATCTCGACTCTTCGGACTTTACTGCATTCTGGTGGGACAGGGAGACCCATGGAATTAGGAAGGCTATTCACGCCAAGCCTTGTTTTCAATTGCGACCAGCGCCACACCCCAACAGGCCGATGTCGCAGCACCAGCTTGTCAAGTCCAAACATGTTGCAAAGGTAGCATTGGTAGCAGCCCGGTAGCGGCATGGAGACGTGGGTCGGATGAGGATTTTCCGTGGTGTTTTCGGGCGCTGTGGTTTGAAGACCAGGTGCGAAGGTGCGAAGATGTTCTTGAGACTGTCGACTTCCCTGACCGGCCCAGGACTTCAGCGAGGAGCATCGCCGCAGGCTTGTCTTGGTGCACTCGTGAGAGTAGCCTTGCTCGTGTTCGATCGCTTTGCGCAGTTGCAGCTCATGGGTTGTCCAAACCAGGTACTCAGGTGGCAAAAATCGACATAAGCATAAGCAACCTTGTGTGGATGAAGGTTGGGAGCAGTAAGCACGGTCCTTTTCCGCTGTGAGGTGCTACTGAGAGTGGCTGACTGTTTACTTTGCGCGTGAACGATCAAGAGTCCTAGCCTGTCGTGGACAGATCATGTTCCGTGCAGGATTCACAGGACATGCGATCTGCAGATGTTGGTATCAAGATACCGGACCTCCAGCATTCCGAGCATACCTACGCTGCAAATTCCATTGGCCCTGTCATGTTATCCAACCCGCGTTTTAGTGGTGCCGTACCTCAGTCAACCGGTGAAGCCGACCTATGCGAATATATTTTAGAACTTGATGCGCAGGCGCTTGCCTGTAGAATAGGAAAATTGACTCCAATCACACAGCCGGTTTCAATACTCGGTTCGACGAAGGTGCCAGAGGAAGTTTGCTGTCAGCATGATGCCGCTCGAGAAACCATGATCGTTTTCGAAAGTGAAGTGTTGTCCTTTGTACTTGGGGATGGTGACGCAGCTCGAGCAATCTTGAGTTTGTCCGTGCCCAGGCGCATTTCAGGAGCTTTCAGGGTTTCAATCTTTTCAGAAAAGGAAGTTTTCCCGGAATGCCAAAGCAAGACCCGAAGCTTTGATGTGCTCAAGACGTTACAACTTCGTTGTTGCACGGATGGTCGGGATTGGTTTTTCGTGTCCACCATGCATTCTGCAGGTCGCATATTAAGGCTATGCATTTTTGTGCTAGCTTTGATTTGGGCACGTGGCTTTGGGCTCCGTTGGCGGGTTGGATGAAGCTCCGTGGGGAAGGTGTTGAACCTTTGGAAGAGTCTCGCCCTCGTCTGATTGGCCGATGCAGGTTTTCTCACCCGGAGAACATATTGCTGGCATGTCAATATGGCGCGAAACTCAGACTCCACTAGAGACAGCGTCGGCTCGATCTTCGGGGGCTGCACATGACCACAGGTCGGATCTGAGAGGCATGCACCTCATGTCCACCAGTCATCTACTCACTACTGCCCAGTCGAAACTGTAGAGGATCTACTTCATGTTGAGAGTAGTTATGCCTTCCTCGTCAAGGCAATTCTCAAGCTAGTGTCGGAAGTTTTGCCGGCGACTGCATGTAGCCAACGACTAGCTTTCTCTGCAGACTCACCGGAACCTGTGTGGCAACAAGACTTTGTTCTGCGCCCCGCGAGCAACGTTTCCGGCGGCTGTGCTACTCGTGTTACTATTAGGGTGGTAGAGTGTAGGGATAGTGAAAGAAGACATGCGATTGCGTCGGTGGGAAGTGCAGCATTGACACTGCTAGCGGCTAGCTGTGGAGCTCCAGCTTTGCGCAGAGCGAGCTCATCCGGTGTCGCTCAGTGTCAGGGCCTGTTGCTCGCACGCAAACAGGCAGCAAATGCTACCAAAAGAACCTGGCCCACCTCAAGCACTTCGTGTGCGGGCCTCGGACAGAGTCAACACGGGCTTGAGGAGAAGTTGCGAGTTTTCATATTCTGCTTGCTTTTCGTGATCGGAAGTCGGAGACATTTGCACGGAGATACCGCAGATTTGACCCCAGAAAGCAGACACCTGCGGCTTTGCCGTACAAGCTTACGGGTGCATAGGGAATTTTGCCCTGCAGTTTGCTGGAGCAGCTTGAAGCGAGCTCGCTTTTCTTCAAACCCCTTTCGTGCCTGTCCCCTTTTGAGGGCAAGAAGTTCCAGTTTGTCTTCTGGCAAGGGACAGCATGTCAGTCTGTGGTTTGTGCAAGCCAAGAGCAGTAAGTATCTCGCCGTACCTTCGGTAGCTTCGATGTCCCCGCAAGCGCTTGCGTTAGGCACCCGGGCGATCGGCACTACCGAATGGGCCTTGTGCATTTCCCGACGCGGAAGGGAGCTTCTCGTTTCCAAGACACGGGTTCAGTCAAATGTTCAGTGCATTACCAGAACGCCACGGGCCACGGGTTTAGCCGCCTGTTTGCAGGTTACAGGCTTTTGTCGGCATTGATTGTCTGACATCGGAATTACTATAACTTTGCAGTTCGGAAGGGGTTTGGTGGAAGACGGCCTCGAGGGCACACGGGCTTCCGGGTGTTGTCGATCCAGTTCTTTCCGGAGACGCCCACGCATTGACACAAGGATTCCAAATATGCGTAGGATTGATTCCTTTGAGGGTTCTTACTTGCACGGCGGATTCATGTTTAGCCAGAGGTTTTCAATCAAGCCCGTAAGAATGAAAACTAGCGGCACACACTCGCTCGGAGGTGCGAGTTCAGAAGGAGTTCCCAACGTTGCCCCTTGGCAAAACTCCTGTCGAGCCCAAAAAATGATGGGCTGGTCTAGGCACTCGGGTTTGGAACATACAAGTAGGGGCAGTTGCGGAGATGCAGGACCTTAAGACATGCTTGCTTTGCTATGCTCGCGATATGCCTCTTCTAGCCTGCTATGCATCACGCATGGTGCTCATCAATTCTGGTTGCGTCAGTCACCGCGGGCTTATTGAGTGGGGATGAGCTGGATGTTTCGGCTGGTTCGGAAGAGGGGGGAAGCAGAACATGCCACGGACGTGTCCAATGGAACTGAGGCCGGCAAGCTTTGAGAATTTTGATACATTACGAATGCTCGCGCAACGCTTTTCGGCCAAGAGTGCTTGAGGATGATGAGCAAGGTGCTGGCCAGCGAGCTGCTTTGCGAAGCTTGGTGTTTGCCTTGCTGCCGGATTTCTGCCCGATGCCAACAAGTCTCGCTCATTTGCATGGCTGCTTTATCCTACCAGCCCATAAGTGCCGCATGGGACGATGCCAGCTTCAGTGTTGCCACAAGTGCCCCATCCGTGTCCTGGGTTTGCCAAGTATTAACACAAGCAAAAGTATATGAGCATATGGGCCATACAATCGAACTAGTTCCCTGATGGGGTCGGGGTCAGGTCACGCAGCAAAGTTTCGCAGTTTCTTCGGTTGCTTTCCGGTGTAGCAGAGATCCTCCAGCCCTCGGCACTGTAACGCTCATCACGACTGTAGGCCTGATCATCTAACGAGAGCGTAGGGTCGTGGGATGCCTTTTAACAATACAGGGAATGGTTGGCATTAGATGGAGTAGTTTCTGTTCAGTGACTAGGCTCATCAGCCGAAGGCGTGATCTCTTCAACTTCTGCGACCCAGATGAGTCTGGGAACATCTCTAAGGAAGAGTTCCAGGCCAGGGCCCCCACAAAAAGTCCAGTAACGATTTCGGAACTCGCTCCTCAAGTGGAAATGCTACACAAGAGTCCTGGGGGTTCAGTCTTTCGAGATGTAGTGGTCCAACCCATTCACGAGGGTGCGTGGGACCTGCTCGTCGACCTTCCCCCGGAGGTCTTCGGCATGGAGGCACGCTGGCTGCAAACTCGCAAAGCATCCTGAAACCGAAGGCCTTTCAAGACCCTGAAGCCTCAATGATCGCACACAGACATGAGCGCGGTCACCCTTCCCACAATGAGGAAGATCTCACCGGGATGCCGGAATCGGAACAGCAGGTTCCCAAGAGCGAAGGATTCCGCACAGAGACATTCGACACCTTGGGCGATTCCTGGAGTGGCGATTAAAAGGTACCTCCAGCGATTTCAGCATAAGGTGAAACCGCCGGGGCAGACTGCGGCTTCCTAGCTATCAGGATATCTTCGAAATATCGTTTTGGACCCAAAGATGCCGGCAGAAGCAATCAGAACACATTCCAAAGAGGTTTACAGTACAGTCACATCCCTGATCAGGGCACTTCGCTGAAGGGCAGCCCAGAGCAGGCCTGACAGGGCATGGTTTTCTTCAGTCCGGAAGCTTGGTGTGTTGTTGCTGTCCAGCAATCCTGCAACGTGATAATTTCCACGGGCACCATCTCCGCATGATTGAGTTCATCTGCAGCACAGAACTTAGAAGCAAGGTGGCGTTCAGTTCATGTAGATTCCGTTTTGGTGGATAGGCAAAGCATCCGCAACACGAGGCCCTCAATCTGCACTCGCTGGCTATGAACTCCAGACTCCACCAACAGGCCTCGCTCCGCAGCATTCCTCATCCTTCCGTTGGAGACGTCCCCGTACTGCCGGGCGTTTGAACGGAGGCACAACCTTCAAAGTCTCAGAACTGGAAGCCTTCGAATCCTTCGAACTGCTTTCTGGCCTCTCCTTCGAGGAGATGCTAGCTTTCGGCTTTTAGCACACATCCAAGCATCCAGATAAAGGCCTGGGAAGCTGCTGCCGGCGACGAGCGCAGCCACCTCACCTTCGCCCAGTTCGCGAAGTGGGCGGCAGCGGCGGCATGACCCCAATGACTAGCAGCGACTAAAGAACAGTTTCGCCAAGTTAAGACAGCCGTCCCGTGTGTAATAGTTGGAAATAGACCTGTGTGTGATGTGCGCAGGTGCACGAGGAGCCTCCTCAAAGCGAAAGTACCTTTGATCATGCCCAACTCCAAATCAACAAAGCTGTATTGAGCCATGAGCCATATAAGGACATGAAGATTCAGCTGCCTGTGGGCGTGGATCCGTCCGACACTGCCGCAGCACCTTGGCAAAGGTTATGCAGCGATGCATCCACAGTTTCTGCAGAGGCTGTTGCACCTGTCCAAAGATTGTGACGAGACAGCCACAGTGAAGCCGAATAATGTGTGCTCGGAACATTCGGGACTCGATGCTTTACAGCTTGAGCGAGTGGTCCGAAGGAACTTTGTAGTGTGGCCCACCCTTCGAAGAAGTGAAATTCAGCCACTGGCTTCAACATCCAAAGTCGCCAGGATCGGCCGTGCCGCTTCCAGTACAAAGACCGCTGCCCTTGCGTGAATTTCAAGGTCCAAAAGCACGTACCTGGTTGAAAAGGAATGAGCTGATTCTGAGCCGTCGTCTTTTCCTATGCAGCTCAGACATAGTCTGTGCGTTGGCAAAGGCTTCAGACAGTACTTGCGACAGTGACTTTGTTTTTCCCAGCAGGGATTTAAATGCATTGTATCTAGCGAGAGCAGACAGGTGCAGCTATCTCGCTCCACTTTCGGGTTGCGGTCTTAGACAATTCAAGGTTGATTGCTGGCTACTTATCCTTTGCCGCATCGTATTCGCATGGGTATGGACGACATAAAGCAGGTGCCGTCCAGTACGAGTCGGCTATCAATGCCTCTCAAGGTAAAGATGATTGAGTGCAAGGAATAACCGATGTTGGATAATGTTATCAAAATGGTTTTGTGGCGTGCGCGAGATGGTGGTGACCAGACTCGGACTAAAAACGGGGTTCTTTTGGTGTCTCTGCTTGCGCTTTTGTTTCGGTCCTGTCCCCCGACCAGGCCACGGCTGCGAATCCGACGATGTGCGAGTGCGGCCACAAGACTCTTGTCGTCCTGCGCGTTTTTTGTTTCGTCCATCATTTCGGCTGTTTTTAGTTTGTGGGTTTTTTGTCATTGGTTTTACATTCAGATGGTGGTGCATCATTGGTTTCCCAAGGCATTCCAAACGAGACATATACGACCTCCCGGCAAAGGAGCTCCGCACACCTCTCTGATGTGGCCCTGATGACACAGGAAGAGCAGGAGGCCTTGGTTCAAGCAGGGTATGCGGAGGTTGGAGGTTGGGACTTGAGGTTCTTAAGACCGCAAAGTGAAAGTGGAGGTACTGTGTGGCCTACAGCAGGGCTTGGTGTACGAGTTCGGATCTGAGGTTATCGTCGTTCTTGAATGGCATGCTCGCTGCTTACAATTCAGGAGTTATGTTACGCTTAGTGACGGTCAGTGCAAGTCCCGGCACAGAGCATTCTCAGCCTAGTGCAGACTTTAGGACCCAGTACAGAGCCGCATTTCCGCGAGGTCTTGAACAAGCTGAAGCGTAGGGCGCTTGGCCGTGGTGCCTCCAAGCCACTTGGCCGAATCCAAGGCTGAGACGGGGCTTCCAGGACCTTCACCGACGATGGGTTTTCGTCATTCCGATAGCTTCTTGCTTCAGGGTCACAAAGACGTTCGTTGGGGAGATGATGTCCTCCCTTCAGGCGTCAGCACCCTAAGCCGTCACGGCCAGACCAGACCGAAGCCTGCGGTACAGAATCTCCCAACTTCTCGGCTGCTCGGCCGCCTCGGCCTTGCAGCTCGAAGAGCTCAGGACCTCGCTGTTCGCGCCTGCCAGGAAGCCGTGGCCTCAGCGCTTCCAGCAAAGGAAACCCGAAATGCGCACGAGCACCTGATCCAAAAAGGGCGTGCAGGCATGCAGGCTGCCCAGTTTGTTAGGTTACCTCTGACTCGAAACAGACCAGACAATTGCCTATCCCGCTTCTGAGATGGCTTTTGTGCATGCCGACAGTTCTGCAGACCCCAGAACTTATTGATGATAAAAGCTGACAAGCCACTCCTCCCTCAGAAACCGCCTCGATGCATTGAGCTTCCCTCAAGCTTCCCGCTGCAAAATGACGAGATACCATCCCCTGAACACAGGCCCGGTGTTACCTTCGTTACAGATCCAGCCGGCTGGGCTTGTTTTCAGCCGAATATGTCGGATTGCAGACTTCATGATAGTGCAAAGTGCTACAGGGTCAAAGACTTGGTTCATATTCTGCGGGTTGTTGTTTCCTGAAGGGTGCTTTGGAGGTTTGGCAGGATTTCCCGAAGTGGTTGGCTTGGCGATATGCATCTTTATCTGCGCAGGACAAGTCTTCGAACAGAGCAATGTGCATAAAAGGGTAGGTCAGATTTCGCATCCTTCCAAGAGTTGCCGGCTACCAATTCATCCTGAGTCGTCCCCCCCACCTTTCATCTCTTATCCAGCATGTTTAGAGTCCTTTTGTGCAGGCATTTGTTGTCGGGAGCTTGCGAAATGGGCACTAGTTCTAGCAGCAGTTTGAAGGGCAATTGGGAGCGCGGCGACTTTCGTGCTAAGTGGCTTCAAGGATATTGTTTTACTACGCACAAATCTGCCTCACTATGCGGGTTGCACTTTCTACGCCGTTACGGGTGCATGCACGACTGTGTCTTGCGACTTCTGCGGTGCCCGGCACTAGTCAACCAGCCTTCTGCTTCTTTTACAACAAGTAGTGAAGTTCACGACACATGTCAATATTTAGCAAAGACAGTTGGTGGCCCCTACTCCTCTGAGGCTGACCCACTAGGAGGTACCAGTAAAGAAGTGGTTGGCATGTGGAAACTGTCCAGCCCGAAGGGTTTGTGCACACTCACAGCTCAGTCTGCCCCATACTTTTTCTGTTTGCTGTTCAACATTGCGTCTTAAGCCAAGCCCGGGCACTGCGCAGATGTAAGTGGGCTTCACAGCTCTTCAAACCTTAGACCGTCAGAGCTAGCTCCGAATGCCTCTTCAGTATCCTGCTGTGGCTCGCGCGAGAGCAAACTCACACTTCTGACCGACCGACGAAGAAAAGAGTTCCAAAAACATACCATAGGCTTTCGATACCTCTGTACCGCAAAAAGATTAGCTTGATGAGTCGCTGTGCCTTTCCGCTAGCTTTCGTGTCTCTCTGCTCACGTGGTGATACGCTCAGATACAGTACAGCAACTGTAACTATGCTTCCAGTCCCAGACCGAAGGCAAAATTAAGGGCAGGGCTACCCAGAATCGATCAAGTCCGGTGCCCTTTGTGTCAACGGAATCCAAGAAACTGCTTGCTTTGAATGAGAACGGAAACCCCCTGACTCATCCCCGACAGCCTTCAAAACTGCATCAGAGCAGTGCAATCACAAGTTTGCAAAGTGTTGATAGTTTCTCAGCGTTGGGAATCGTGCTCCCTGCACAGCTACATGCCTTCTGGATTTGGTATACTAGGGTTCGACTGTAAGAACATTACCCCGGCCAACCACGTTCCGCAAGCCAGAGCTTCGAGTTGCAGAGATGCCAGGAAGTCCTGGCGGCATTGCAAGAGCTGCTGTCGCAGACCCACAAGGAGTTTGGGTTCAGGATTTGGAAAGTCAACACTGTCAAAGCACCTTCAAAGCTGCATTCTTCGTGCAGCAAGAGCACTTTTGTCAAAAGGGTTCTCGGACCTGTTAAGACATCGAAGCACGCCCTGGTCAGAGGATCATGACAACTGGACTCGCGACAGAGGCTGTGCGCTCCATGGGCGCCACCGCTGTGAGGTGGTTGGAAGTCCGGTCTTTCAAAGAGTTCGCGGAATGTTGACGCTTCAGGATATGCTTGTTGGAATGGAGGTTCAGCTTTAGCGAGTTTTGGCGGGCAGTTTGCTGCCTCAGCCCACGACCCTGTCGGAAGTGGTCCCTTTGCTCTGGCCTTTGACACTTCTTCTCGTGGTGCTCAGCTGTTTAACCACAGATCCATCCATTTCCTGATGCTTTCCTGCAATAAACAAGAAGCCCGCTTGGGTGGTAAACTCACTTCAGCCCCCCTCGACAGAACCCCCAGAGGCACAAGCGCGACGGAGCACGCTCAAAAACCCAAGTTGAGTTTTCGTGGGAGACGGAGAAATCAAGCACGTCGTAGAAATTTCACAAATGCTATGAGCCAGGCCATGTTTGCCAGCTTCCATTGGGGGTGACATCATGTAAAAAGACCAAAGGTTTCACCCAATCCCGAGGTAGTGCATGGGCCAATGGGCCAGATGCAGCTTCCGCTCAGAAACTCCCTGACCACTGAAGTGCCCTCAGGCCAGCTGCCTCTTCCGACACAGAGCACCGGTTCCCACTGGCTACAAGCTCATTCGTGCCGATGCCCGACAGTGGAAATGAGTGTGTGGTTCGAATGCATCCTGGATGTCCTGGAATAGCCCTGTCAACCATGTGCAGCGAGTTTTGAACAAGCTTACCGTCCCTTGCTCGGTTGTTGGTCGATTTGCAATTCCAGCTTGCTCCTCGACATGTTTGCCATTCTGAAGGAGCCATGTGCAAAAAAAATCCAAGTTCCGACAATCTGTAAGGGTCGTAGTCTGGATATAGGTGGAACAGACTAAGCAAAGTGGCTCCTCAGGGATTTGGGTTGCAACTGCTACATCCGAATTTGCCCAACCTCGACCCCAAAGATCCGTAGAGTCTTTGCGAAAGCCCTCAGACTCAGATTCTCTGCGACTCTACGACCTCCGCGTGTTTGTTGCTAGCTCGGCCTCATCCCAGCTGGCGCTAGCACTGCAAACCGCCCAGGAGAGGAACAGAAATCCTGCCCTGTACCACACATACGCCACGACTCGAGGCGCCATCAAGCAGGACGTGGGCATGCATTCGCTCGTGAGAAAAGATTGGGAACAGCAAATAGGGAAGTGGCAAATCAGCGGTAAAAATCCCGACATAGCACAAAACGAGGTATCCGGAAGCCCAAAGAGTGAGCATAAGAAATCCATAAAGATAGAAAGGCGGAGCAGTTTTGCAAAGTCTTGTGTGGACTTCTGGACTGCCGTTTGCATTGTGAGGTGCGGACGGTGCCATGACCGAAGTTGTTGCCTCTGCATGGGAGCGTACGACTTCCTTCCATCACTGTTGCACTGGACTGATTTCCAAGTGGTTCCTGGTTTTGCAGTTCGTACGAAGTTTGAGGCCCCTTATTCGTTGAACATGGGGCGCAGCACGCTCCAGGAGACCATTATTGGCAGCCTCCCTTTTGTCACGGTCAGTCCCAAGAGTGCCTGTGCTGCCCGGCTCAGTGTTCAACATGTCCGTCAGGTGTAGCAGGGATAGTTGTAACTTTCATTTTTCCCTAGATGTACCTGTGTCCTTCTGTGAGGGCCCCTCTCGAAGCCAATACTGTGTTTTAGCTAGCCAATGCCGCCGACCCCAGTTTTTGCTGGTGTTCAGGGTTGTGGTTCTGCATCTTTCAACATCAGGGCTATGCATGTATGTGGTTTCTATATCTGGATCCAGTTGGCTTAGATATACTGGCTGCCACTAACAAACATGCTGGAATCAGATGCATGTCGAGGGGCAAGGGGCAAGCTCTTCAAGTCCGTATGTTCTGGCAAAAACGTAAGGAGTAAACCCCGCAAAACCTGTGGCCGAAGACAGGAATCCTACGGAGTAAACCCAGCACGAACGTGTGACCGAAGACAAAAACCCTAAGGAGTAAACCCCGCAGAAATTTTTGGCCGATGAAAAAACCCTAAGGCTCTCAGGAGCAATCCCCGCAGGAACCTTTGGCCGAGGACGACAACCCTAAGGAGTAAAGCCAGCACGAACACAAACCCTAAGGAGTACAACCAACACGAAGTTTCTACAAACGACGAAAAGCCCTAAGGAGTAAACCCGGGGTGATTTCGGTGAGCTAGTCCTCATCCCGGCTCTACCTACTAGATATTCCGACTGCAGCAAGGAGGAAAAGGGCCCTAAAAAAAAAACAAGCGGGAACTGCCGCCGAAGACGAAAAATCCCTTAGGAGTAAAGCCAGCAGGAACCGGGTGGCCGAAGACGAAAACCATCAGGAGTATGCCCAGCACGAAGCTGGTCGGAAAAAGCGAATGACGCAAAGGATAAAACACGGCAGCATCCTTGGGCTTGAGCATGGCAGGCTCCGGAATAGAACCCCCAAAAATAAGTCATAACTAAGACGCGTGTTTTGCAACCCTCTGCAGGAATTCGTTGGTTTTTAAGAGGAAAAAAGTTGCAATTAGACGTTTTGTGGAGAAGGCCAAAAAGCCACATCTAAGAACAAATAAAAGTTACAACTAACCGCTCTTCCAGTCAGGCATACTCTCTTGAGTTCCCTCTTCGGTTATAGATCATTCCTGCGCTGGGCTACACAGACAAGGGTGGATAAGGTTTTGGGATTCGGATGGATTTGGGGCTCGCATCTTTAATCCTGACTGTCAAAGACCTCTCCCCGATGCATGAAATTTCCGGATAAGTCAAGCCTGTGTTGGTTTCGGGTCCACGAGACGAAAGTTGCGAAGCTGGGGACAGTGGTTTCGAACTGCCACCTCCAGCCAAGCTCCAGCCAGCCAGCTCCAGCTAGCCCTAGCCAGCTCCAGCCACAGGTTAGGCCAGCCAGCTCCTGCCCAATTGTTTGTTGAATATCGTTGAATGCTCGGACGCAACTGCCGTGGATCTTCAGAGTTTGGCAGCCGCAGGGCCGGTCTCTGCCTTCTGACCGCCTGTGTGACTGGAGCTGAAAGGGCTTCACTTGTTTCAAGCCTTCTCCAGCACAAAGTCCTTGCAATGACGTTCAATAACTTTCAATAGCAGCTTAAATAGAAAAGGCTTGTCAATCTTGGTTTCGCCAAGGATATTCCACACGAAGAGAGTTTGGATCCGCAGGCCGCGGAGCAGCTGGGTCCACGACGTGCTAGGTTCTTTTGCAGTTTGATTTTGTCGCTCTATTTGGTAATATTGGTTCCATATTGCTATCTCAAAGGGTTGTCCTTTACTCAAGCTCCCATTTGCCTCCTGCCTGCTCCCCGCTCTTCGTTTGTCGGTGTGCATCTGTCGTGCTTTCAATCTCTCTCTCTCTCTCTCTCTCTCTCTCTCTCTCCGCGAATCTCTGCAGGTGAACGAGTGGCGGTTGCTCCATGGTACCAGCCTCCAGGCGTGCAAAGGCCAGACTTGTGTGAGTAATGCAATTTTGGGGTTCGGGGTTTCCTGCAGGATACAGAGAAGGTTTCAGTGTTGTCGTAGTCATGGGCGCGGATGGTCATGGTCAACATCGGCGAGGATTCTGATGACGATGTTGCTGCTGACCCTAATGGTGGGGGCCGAGAATAAACACGTGATTATTGTCGTGACGATGGGAGAAGGGAGGATGAGGTTCTTCACAGCTTCTGTTCAGGATGGTACACATGATGGCTAGAATGGAGGGCAATGTCCCTGTTGATGTTGTTGGTGGTGATGATGACGGTTTGTGGAGGAAGAAGAAGATGATGACGATGATGCTTTAGGTTACAAGATCCAGATAGCTGAAGCATTGGACGTGTAGATTGAATTTGCGCTTGTTCCCAAAAGCATTCCTTCCAAAAAGCATTCGTGAAAAGGCTGGGAAAGAGCTTTCTGATCTTGACGCAGATCTGGTTAGCATTCCTACAAGTTTTCTGCAGGAAACCTCTGCCCAAAAAAGTGTTCCGATGGATCGTTCCGCGGTAAACTTGTTGATCACATTCTGGGAGCACTTTTTGGAACGCATTTTTGAACACCTCTGACCTGGGTCTAGAGAGGATAGGCCTCCCAAGAAGAAATCCAACAAGCGTTCCACAGGTGCCCTGCTGCTGAAAGTGTGTTCCTGCAGCATGACGTTTAGCATGCTTTCACATTTAAGGTGCCCACTCGGAATGCTACTCGAAATGCTTCCCAAATCCAGGTGCACAGAATCCCGGAGCACTTTCAGGATGTTGTTTGAACACTGTTAGTTCGTTACAAAGATTAAAACCTTTGGCTCCTAGGCAGATCTTGTAAACACAACCCCGTCTCGTCCCGAACGACCCACCGAGTTAACACCTGCTCGTGTTGATGCATGTTTACTCGATCTCCCCCCTCTTTGTCCTCTCATCTCTGCTCTTACTGTCATCGGCTGGTCAAGTGGGTTGACTGCCGTCTCTTTCTGAAAAAATTTAAGCCCGCCAAGAGTACAACAACTTCATCCGCAACAGCTGCAGAAACAAGACCTTAGTGACAGCGGCAGGAGCAACGACATTTATGACCACAAAAGCTACACGCGTGTTCAAATCTCTAGCAAACACTTTTCGTCTACCACTGTGATGCATGTGACTTAGCACCTGCGAGATCAGCAGGCTCGGATGTCATGTGTAGTCGCAGTGTGTCGTAGTCGTAGTCTCAGTCGTGGTCGTAGTGGTAGCAGCAGCAAGTGATAAGTTTTCCCGTTCGAACGGAAAACTACGTTTGTTTTTAGACTTTCTGTTCGTCACGCATGCTGTTGTGTCCAGCATGTCTTGCGTTGAACAGTAAAAAGCGCAACAGTGCAGTTCGACAGGCTCGGATTAAGTCTTTCTGCACAGTTCGGTGATGAGAGCCGACAGTGGAGAGCATCCATTGCCCAAACCCGGTGGTGTCCATGGTCTAATCCGTTTTGGGCGCAGAGCATTCATGGCGAAAGGGCTTCCGGCCGGCTTGGGGGTTCGGAGGGCGTGGCTTCAGATTTGGGGCTTTTAGGGTCTTGCTGAAGGCAATTTCGGCGGGTGACGAGTTCTTCAAACTGAATTCTCGGACACCTTTTGCCGCTTCTTCAGCGACCTCCACCTCTGTCGCGCCAAGCCGGAACCGGTAGTCGTAGCAGCAGTAGTGGTAGTAGTAGTAGTAACTGGTAGTAGTAGTAGTAGCAGAAGTAGTAGTAGTAGTAGTAGTAGTAGTAGTAGTAGTAGTAGTAGTAGTACTAGTAGTAGTAGTATTGGTAGTACCAGGCATCCCCCTACCAACTACACTGCACATCCGGTTTACTCGGTAGTTACTGTCAGATGGAAGCACATACGCAGTGCTCAGTTCATGGTACACTCATCACCGCAAGACCGCCAACTTTTGTACTCCCACTACTCACCTGCCAGAACACTGTTTCACAGAGAACCCCTGATGTCAGACAGAATCGTTCTGCAGGCATTTGTGCATCCAACTTCCGGCTGTCTCAATGCTGCAAAAAGAACAAGTCTTCTTCGCTTTTGCGTTAGTTGATTGACGTCGCTGTACGTTGTTTAGAAGATTTATGCTCGTACTGAAGTTGTTTACACCGAGGTTCCACTTTGTTATAACTCGATGGGGATTGCGGATTCGTTCGAAATCTACGACTTTCTTGGTTTACCTGCATTTTTTTCAGGATGCCGTTGTATTGGGATGAACCTGGGACAGAGCTTTCACATGGGTGCCTTGCAGAGCAAGGCTCCAGCAATTCGTTGGTTGATCATACTGGCGGAAATACCCTTGAAAGCAGAGGAAAATGGCTGGAAGTGGGGCGACCTGGAAAGAGCCTGGCATGGGCACTGGACGTCGCTCGGAATGCAAGGTCAGCGGGAAGAGGTCGAAGTCACCAATGATCTTTGTTGCTTGTAGAAGAATCGATACGAATAAGGCTTGAGGAAACCCATGCTTCCAGATGTGGTTTGATGCAGCCGTGTCCGTGGGATTTGCAGGTGCCAGACTTACATTTTGTGAGAGAGAGAGAGAGAGAGAGAGAGAGAGAGAGAGAGAGAGAGAGAGAGAGAGAGAGGCGAGGCATCCAGAGAGTGCATGACAACAAGTTGTGAACTCCACCACTCGGCAACAGGGGCGAGGGGCGTGGGCAACAGTGCCGTGATGTTGTACCGTTGGCAGCGTTAGTACCGTTAGTACCTACCTTGTTTCCGAGCCCGACCGGGGAGGGGAACAGACAGCTGTCGCACGTAATACCGTCCGTCCCTTCAACAGACGGGCTGCTCCCGCGGGGGCACGCCCTCAAGCCTGGTGAAAGAAAGACAGAGAGAGAGAGAGAGAGAGAAAAAAAAAAAAAGAGGAAGGGAGAGATGCATTGCAAGAATCACTGCCTAATTCGCGGAGAACTGACCGACACCAACCATAACATTCCCTTCAGTTCATCAAGATAGCACTTGCAAAAGCTCTCAGGAAATAGTGTGTTCACGGAAATCAGTTTTGGGCGAGGTGGTGGGCAGGCAAGGCCCACGAATCTCGAGTTTTGGGCATTACCGTCATTACCGCTATGGAAGTCAAGTGGCCAAGCTTTGTCTTGCCCTCTCAAGGCAGCTTACATGGTCCCAAAGGAATTGACGGGGTTGAAAGTGTGCCACACATGGCCTTGCAGCATGTACCGCCTGCAATAGCAGCCAGGACCCTTGTACGGCTACGGAGTCTACTGTGCAGATGCTGAGCTCAAGATACAAGCCGTAAGTTCAGAGTTGCTGCATGGACCGTGGGCAGTGGAGATTCTCTTGTGGATCCAGCATGGCTATCCTGACTGTTTTGGAAGGCCTAAGTGGGGCAAGCAGCACTTCTGGTAGCTACAACCTGTTCGCCCGTGGAAAGTGTTGAGACATTCGGGCTTGCGGTATATGTTGCAATGCTGTTCACGCAGATTTGCATGCCCGACGCATCTTCCACACGAAATCCACAAGCTCAAATTCTCGGACCATTCTGAAGGTACTGCCCCATGAATCGGCATCTTTAGAAGCCCAAACCTGCCTTAGGTTGGCCCAAAAACCTAAGGCTTGATTCGTGCTCCAAAGCGGCAGTGTTTGCAGCAAAACTCGTTGTAACATTGTGGAAGTTTTGAACAAGATACTTCCTGGTGGCGTCAAGAAGGATGCATCTTGGTTGGATCGGCTTGCGCAACTCGACGGCTCATACAAACTTGAGCCGGCACACCAAGGAGAGCTCCACCAAGGCCGACGAGTATGCAGAGGATGCTGCAGGGCCTTCGCACCTTTGTCAGAATTGCGGTTGCAAGTTTAGGATGCCTAGAAGGCCGTGCTTCTGTCGACCACAGTGAGAAGCCCTCGTGGAGCAGCTTTCTAAGCCAGTGAGAGGAGATCCGTGGCGGGCTGCCCAGCGACGAAGGCCCCGTATCACGCAACCCCAGCAAAGTTCTTTGCCCGAAGCGGCAGCTCTGTTGGATCCTCCTTTTTCTATCAAGCTGTTGCGTTTCGGGCATCACCTCCCTTGCGTTTAATCCAATATTTGTGGTTTTATCTCTCGGGTACTGCGTGCCTTGTCAAAACTCTGCTAGTCAATTTGTTTGTTGTTCTTCTTGCGAAATCTGTTTTCCGAAGACAGGGCTGCCAAGTTTGACAGAGAAAACGTCTGCACAGTCTACTCATAGAAGAATTTCCGATACACTTGCAGGACAGGTTTGCCGAGCTCACCTGATGGGTTTGGTTCGCACGCTGTTTGGTCATGTTGTCCCGGGTGTGGGATCGGAGACGCATCGACGAAACAGTACTCGTCCGAGGCCAAGATATGTTGTTCCTTGAGCAAGGGAGCGAAAACAGCCCAACTGGGAAGTCACGCTACTACCAAGCAGTGCTGTCGAATTTAAAGCGCCAGCGCGAGCCTCCTCTCCACCCGGAACTAGCAAGACACGCAGGACCGTAGGTCACAGCCCAACCGTGCAAGCTATGACCGATTGGCTCCTGAGACCCCAACCCGATCATCTGGACAAACTGAGGTTATATAAGTTGAAAAAAGACGCTGAGAGGTTGCCATGCGATGCTTGTGTGCCGTGTTGTGGGCGGCCTTTGTCGCATCGTGGATCCTTTGTCGCAGATTCCGGTGCTGTGCTATATCGAAGCACGAATTTCGAGTTTGGGGCTTGGCCGTGTCCGCGGCTTCGACTCGCGTGCAGAATTTCAGAGCAGAGATTACAGGTACAGCATTGGAGCAGCTTTAGTTGCACGAACACCGTAAGGACACGAATGAGTTTGACCCAGATGACTTGCCAATGCCTCAGCAGCTGGCATTCTTGCAAGCGTGTTCTTTGCATACCATCGAAGTCCAAGATTCCAGCATAGCTCTTGAGTTTGCACCAGCCGTCGTACAGTCTAGTCGAAGCCGAGCTGTCGAGGCAACGAAGCGGGCGTAAGGACTCGTGAGTTATTGCATGTTATGAGGGTCGCAGTGCATAAGAGGAGGCGCACATGAGTTGAATACTTATCAGAAAAAGTAGGTTTCAACTGGCCGTGACCATTCCAGGGGTCAAAACGATCTAACGTTTGCGTGACTAGCTGAAGCCTTGATTTTACGGATCTCGGGCGATAGAAGTCGTAGGCTTACTCTCGCCAAAGCTTGCAGAATGCAGGCATATGTCGTCCTGGCCCAGCATCTTCCCCCGGGTTTGACAGCCTTCCTCTAGATGTTGGTCACACAGGTCTTGGTAAGAGTTGCCTACATATCCCGTCCAGAAAGTCACGCAGCCTCTTCGGATCCAAGGCGGCAGGATGTGCTGGATGGGCCTTACCACTCCGTCCTTGGCGATCGTGTTGTGAAGCTTAAGATGCTGGCCGCGCAAGAAGTCTTGGCATGTTGAGGGGGGACTGGCTTTTTGCTCAAGTCACCCAAGTGCACATGTAAGCGCCCAGAAGGAAAGTTTCAGGCAACACCACCGACAACCTCTCACACACGAAGCCACATCCATGTCACCCTGCTGGCTCCATGTGGTCATGACGGTGCGGCCGTGTAACTCGGATACACAACATGAGTTGCACCATGTCCACGCACACAGTTCCGGATGATTGTCGCTAGGCATAGCTTGCATTATTCAGGAAGCCATTCCGGGAGATCGTTGCTGGATGCTCGGGTGAACGATATGCGTGTTGCAACAGCCTGACGCTACCGTCCACTTCATGGAACGGGTCTTGGATGAAAGTCCTAGTAGCATCTGCTACTGCTCCTTGCTGTTTGCTAGGAAGTCTGCGAAGCGGGCCCAGCCTGCCGCTGATCACGGGCATGCGAAAACAAGCGGCACTTCAGGTCCATGACAACAACCAGATCTTCCCAGAGTTCATTCTGTACTACAAGAGGCTCACCACTATGCATGAGCGCCCCTTTATGTTGATTTTCTGATTGAGCTCGTAGACACATGCATTATCAAGAGGAGGATGAAGGCACCTGGGCCCCGAACCCATGTAACCCCGTACTCCAACTGTGCAGCTTTTCTTGCCTGGGGTGTTTTCTCGTTTTGTATGATACAGCCTCCATGAATCCTGACTGACTCAGGCTGGGCATTCCAGAGTGAGCTGCGACAGCACATGCAGAGCAGTAGCATCATGTCCAAAGTCCGAAGCCCGCTCGCGCAAGGCCGAAAGCTTTAACGAGGCCAGCAGGGGAGTTCGCGTACCCTGCATTCGCAAAGCGACAGAGCACAGTGCCTCGCAAGCTGGAAACCTAGGAGAGATGTACAAAAAGCGTGGAAAAAGGATGCTGCTTATTCTAAAAATCTTGCGATTTGGCCACACTGACAGGAATGCCTTATGCGATGCGAGTTGGCTGCTTGCTAAGGCTGATAGGCAAACCGATTCGCATGTTGCTTTTAATCTCACTCTCTAACATGGGCAAGTTGCTGAGTTTCGCGGGGCGGAGCCGAGTGAACCGAATCCAAGGGCTGGCCTTTCTTGGCGATGTGTGCTAGAGGGTTCTGACCGTTTGCTAAACATCGCATGTGCCAATCCGCATGTCGATCCTGAAGCTGGCAGCAGTCGGATGGCAATGCTCTTGACATACACCAAGGCAACAAATGATGATGGGAGGTATGATGCCGGGACTAATGCCCTCGCCTTATTTGACAAGGGAATTGTTTACGCATATTGCAATCACGGTCCGTGTATTTGCGTAACCCGTCGTTGTAGATCAACGGAAGCTGAGAGAGGACGATCTCGCAAGCTGGTGCTGCTTGAAATCTGTTTCCAGGAAACATGGAAAGCATGTACGAACCTTCACGTGGCTCTTGCAAGGAACGTCTCGAGTGTATCCATGCAACAGCAATTCTCAGGCCTGGGATGCCAGGACTTCCTGGGATGCTGTAGGCTCAGAGCCAGACTTTTGAACGCGTGATCAAGTGGTCGGCAGTCGGTGCTGTACCTTAGCTTGGCCTGCAACCGGTCGGAGCTGATCGGAAGGGCAGACGCCACACTTAAAGAGCCCGCTTCATGTGCCCTGCAAGTGCATCAGGACTCATGCAACATCAAGCATTGCGATAGAAGTTCCAAGAGTTTGCAAAACAGCAGAATGCATTGACAATTGCGACCTTGATGGATCTACGAGAGAAGTCACGAGTGTTCAGCGACGTTTATTTGCGTCGTAGGGGGCTTGGAATTTGCAGTTCATGTCGCACACGAGACAAGGAAAAAAACTGTCCGAGAAGTCGCCGTGTCTCAACCATTCAGCTTCCTAGTCAGGTACAGGACGGCTGGAAAGCATTGTGTTCATACTCCTGCTACTACTACTACTACTACTACTACTACTACTACTACTACTACTACTACTGGTGTTCCTCTAGGAGCCAGTTCGGCCTTGCAAGGTACCAGCACCAGTACCAGCAGCGGTACTAGTGCTAGTATCAGTACGAAAGCCAGAACTAGTACCAGTACTACTTGTCGTAGTAGTATTGGTTCTTACTATTGCGACTACGATTACAATTTCCGCGTCATGACGACGACGAAGACACAGATGCCGACGGGTACCAAGACTATCATGCATTGCACTAGGGTGACGATGTTGGCTCGCCCCCCAGGCCGGTCATTGCGGAGCAGACCACGCCAGCGGCACCAAACCTGAAAGCCTCACAGCCAGCTGTGGTCCAGGCTTCGAACTTCTTTTTAATTGCGGGAAGACGAAGGGCTGCCGGGGTTTCGGATGCATGGCGTCGAGGTTTCGGGAAAAGAAGATGTTGGCTCTGTAGGCTGTCCGTCCTCCAGAGTGTACTTGTGGGTCGTTCCGTGCGACTGACACCTGAATCTTAGAGCCGGTATGTTCTTCGTGTTATTCATGCTCGGGCATCGGGGTCGAACTCCAACTCGTGCGAAGGCCACGACTCAACACTCAGGTTCAGAGAGCCAATTCACCTCCAACCCCCGTTTCAAGCATGCATCCCATGACCAGATTTCTCACGCATCATCACCTTTGGGTGCTTGTGCAGCTGTTCGCGGTTGGTTTGGGATGTTCCTTAGTTTTTGAGTTGCGCAGTGAAATTTTCAGTTGTGAGTGCTGCACTTGGTTCACCGGCTGATTCACTTCCGCTTGTGCTTGTCTTGTGTTTGCTTCTGTGCGATGCTGACCTATTCAGCTGCAACACCGCCCACATCAAGGAGAAGAGTGCCCAGATTGGGATGCGCTGCCGGTGGCAAGACCTGTGTTGGTGCGGCGTAGAGGTGGTTCGCGCAACCCTTCTCAGACATTCAGAAATTCGCAGCTGGGCAGGCGCCTGCGGTGCTCGCGGAATTCAGTGCCTTCTGTGTGCAGGACTTGACGTGCGTGGTGGCCGGTGGTGGCTCCACCCTTCCGAGTTCAAGAATGGGAGGAAGCACAATGGAAGATTCTAGCAGATACTGGGCGCAAACACCTCCAGCCGTTTCTTCCTTCGCGGGGATTTGGCTTTGAACACGTGCAAAAAAGCTGCTTCGCGCAGAAGCATCGGGGACATTAAGAGGGCATCTGCCAAGCTGCAAGTTGTTGCTGCGTTTCATCCATTGCAGCGACATTCTGACGGGCGAGGCGCAGGTGTGTGTCTTAGCAAGCGTCTTGCCACGCATTCAGCATCGGAGCCAGGCTTGTGGGGCACCTGTCTCTGCTCAAGTTCGTGGCTGTGCTCATGGCGTTGGATCGGTTCCGTCCAAACTTGAAAAGTCCGGTCGTGGCCGCTTGGTCTGGACTGGTTACAGCTGACGAGGCGCACAAGGAAGCCATTCCGCTGCCTCTGGTCGTCATTACCAACTTCGGGATGGCAGTGCACGATTGTGTGAGTCTAAAGGGTGAGTTGGGTGGGCAGTGCTGTCACATACTGATTCTTGATTATGATGTGGGGTGCTTTGTGTTTCAGTGCTGCTCAGCACGTGTGCATGGCAGACATGGACTCCTCCTCAGAAATTATGTGTAATTCTGCACGGGAGCTGCTGGCGTACTAATGTCCTCCAATCATGTTGGAATATAACTCTTCTGGTTGGGCTCACGTTGTGTTGTGCTAAGCTGGTAGGTGTTGTCTTTTTTTGCTTCCTGGTCCTCGAGGTGGCAGGGCCTCATTCATGTTTGCGCAGGCTCAGTTGCGACGCTTGTTGGTGGAGGTCACGGGAGTTCCTGCAACAGCTGCCGGGATTTACATACACACTTTACAGACCGGCCTTTCTGGGGGTTTGCAGTTTGAGGTTGACGGCGTGTTTCAGAGCTTATACGGACACCATCGTTCCAGAGACTCTGGTGAGGCGATGGCGCAGAAGTACTGCAAAAACGACGTTCTGCCAGCCTTGTGTGGTCAACTCGAGGTGGTGCAAGCCATTAGAAGGGGCTGGTGCTTTTTGACCCCGTAAGCGCGGCGCGCCCGGCGGCCTTTCTTTGAAGGCCGCCTGCTGCCTAAGCCTTCCCCGTTGGCCTCTGCCCCGCTGGGTCTCGGCAAGGCGGACGACCAGGGTGAGGATACTGATTCAGAATCTGGTTCTGAGAGCTCAGGGGCATCTTCGTGGGACTCCGGGTCGTCTGATGAGGAGATAGGAGAAGATGTGGCCATTACTCCCATATTTGTGGTGGATGTTCATTGTCAACCGTCTGAGTGCCAGGTTCCATGCTGCCGTACTAACGGAAGATGGAGCACTGTGGCGACCGTGTTCGGACAAGGACCATGATGATCTGCAACGGGAGGTTTGGAAGGAACATCCTTCTGGCAACGCCACGGCCTTTGAGCCATGCCTCCACCCAGTTTGCGCTAAGGTGCTGTGCGGGGAGGACACGTGATTTCGGCGTTCAAACTCTGCCAGTTGCTCCGGTCTCGTGGGAGATGGAGGCTTGGGCGCATGTGTGACTTTGTGGCCTCGTGGGAGATCAGGGGAGGACTGGATCCTCGGCACACGCGTGTTTGCATTGAATTTCATGGGAGATCGGAGGATGGATTCCTCGCTGTCAATCTCGCGGGAGATTCGTCTTGTGGGCATGTTTTGATTGGGTTGTGCGCCTTTGTAGTGCCGTGGGTTTTTCTTGATTGGGCTCACGCCTGTAGTTTGCGATCCTTGCTTGCTTTGTTTTGCATCTCTGTGCTGTCATGGATTGCAGACAGAAGTTTGAGGAGTTTGTGACAAAGGTAGGGGCTTTGCGATGGGGTGAAGAAGTCGCTGAAGGCCTGCGGCTTTACCGCAGCGGTAGATCTACTCTTCTGAACTTTGCAGGGCGGCGCTGAAGAAACATTCGCCGGAGTGCTTGAGGCAGCCGGTGTCGATAAGGGAGCTGCGCCCTCGTTGTTTCAGTGGGTGATGTGGCGCCGGTTAGCTCTGATGCAGTGACGTCCGATTTGCTGGGTTTTAGTTGGACGCAGCAAAGCTCCAGGAACGCTGGAAAAGAAAAGTGATGATGATAATCCTTCGGAGTGCTTGCGGACGGACGCGCAGCCATGCATAAGCACTTGCCTCACCAGATGGCATTGCAGAAAAAGAACGGGGAGGTGAAGCTTTTCTCTTGGAAACAGATCCGGAATGCTGCGCAGTTTGAGCGCTCGCCTACCCTGCGCACGCACGGTCCTTGTTGGCGGATGTGCCAGGTCGGGTGGATGCCTTGGGGCCAACCAACCCGGCGGCTCGTTTCAATGAAAGGGCGGAGGCTCCCTTGCTATTCCTGCTTGCGGCAGCGTTGAACCGCTTTGCTGTGTGGAGCGGAGTGCCCGTGGACTACACAGAGTGGATCCTCTTAAGCGTTGACATCAGAGGCGCGCATAAGTCCAAAAGGACAGCTGTTAAGGATGTGCTGTTATTGCCGCATTCTGCATTCGCGATGCCGGCGGTGCAACCCGGCAGATTCTGGGATTGCCGCTGCCCTGGCACAAACTTGCGTTGGGTAACGACTTGACTTTCTTGGGATGGCGGCCGTCCTTCCAAAATGGTTGTTGGACTGCTGAGGGAGCTGGCTTGGTGGGGATTTCATCCACGACGAATACCGCGGCGAAATCCGGGCACAGCTACTTTGGGTTCCTCCTGTGGGCGGCACAGGTGCGGATCGCGTTGCGGGGCCTTTTTGGCGTCGTTGTTTTGTCAGGTTGATGGAATGTGCCTGCAATGCCCAGGTTTAATAACTTATAGACGAGCTGTCCATGCCTTTAGCGGACGGTCAGATCTTCCACTTCACGCGCTGACACGCGGAAGGGCTGGCGTCTTTGTGGCCTGGGTGGCAAAGCAGCAGTGGATTCTGTCTTGGATGCATGCAAGTTACTTAATCAGCCACCGACAATGACTGCGAAGGTGTGGGTGGCGTCCCTATATACCTTGTATCAAGTTTTTCGCTCGAGCCAGTTCTCTTGGGAGGGGAGACGATGGCCGACTTTGCTACAACGGATACCTGGGCTTCGTGTTCGGGCTTAGGTGGTTGGTTTTGCTCGTCTGTTTCTGGCGAGCTTTTCTGGTTTAATCTCGAGATTCGGCGAGGGCAGCTGCCCAAGGCGTGGCAATGTCCTGACAGTCTACAGGTTGCTACTTGTGCGGTTGAGCTCTTGAGACAGTTAGCTCTGGTTCTGGCTCGCGTGAAAGGTCAGGGCAGCTTTGGGGTGCATCGTGTGCGTCTCCGACAGGTTGGCGACAATCTGCCAGTGCTGGCGGCATACAACAAGGGCCTATCGACTGCAGGTGACTTTGGCTTTTACTTGCCTGGAGAAGCAGGCTGTCCCACGTGGCAGGTGAGCGCAAGCATATGCGTTGAGCAGGCTGAAGCACCCAGATAAAACGTCCGGGTCAGCAGAGATGAATTCAAAGTTCCAAAGCGAGGGATCTTGTGCAGATCGCTTTAAACGATCTTCTCAAAAAGCCTGGGAATCTGTTCTTGGAGCGCCCAAGCTTGCGCAAAGTACACGACTGGTTGGAAGATTTGCTATGCTTGTATATAGTTTGTGGTCGCCCAGTCGCACAAATTTGGGGAGAGTATGAGTAGGCACGCCTGTGCAGGATCTTGTTTATTTCCAACAGGCAAATGTCGGGGAAAGGGAAGCTTGTTGGCAGAGTTCTGCCCTGGATGGCTGTGTCCCGCACCTTGCAAAACAATAGTGGCGCGCCTACATCTGCAGATACCAGCAGGATAGGTTGGGCGAGACAGAGGCTGATGCACTTCAGCTTTCCCACCCACCCACCCCTGCTGCTGAGCAGCCAGGGAAGAGCGGGAAAAGGGAAACCTGTCAGGCTGTTGGCTGTATCCCGCATCTAGCAAAACATTACGTGGTGGATTACACAGAGGATATGTTGGGCAAAAGGGTACTTAACCAACCAATAGCACATGTTCTGTACTTTAGCACATACACTGATCTCTTTGAGGTTCTTTGGCTTGCCAACCGATGTGTGATTTGAAGACCGTTCGAAGCATCCCCATCATTCGTGATTTGTCCGGCATGTTGTAAAAGGACATTTTACAGTGCTTCGCAGCTGCATGTAGGCGGGCGAGCCAAAACCGGTGCCGCTTGCGACAGAGGCAGGCGTGACTGTACTCCTGCACGGGTTCGGAGCATCATTTCGAGTGCTGTAAAGGTTTAACCATGCGTGAGGAGGCAAGGTCTACCATGGTCTCTGGGTCACGGAGACTGACGTTTTTCAGTCTCCTGTGCTGTGCTTAGTCGACTTACCGTTAAGTGCAATTCTGTTGAGTTCTCGTCCGCTCACCTCACCTCGGCCTGTTGGCACCATGTGTTTTCGACTGGGCGGGAGGGATTACATACGATATCCAATGATGCACGAATATGTGGTTGTACCGAAGCATGTAGCACGTCTGATTAGCAGTTTCCAGCCCACAGCAGAAATCAAGGCAGTATGTCAACATGAGTCTGACCTTAGCCCGACACTAGCACACCATTTTTTGGGCAGGCTGCTCCCGTCGCGAAGGAGAAGGCCGTGTTTTGCTTGTTTTGAAGCAGAGCACCCTAGTGAAATCTCCAGCCGACGGTCAGGAGCCACCACCTTCACCACGCCAGCCAAAGACAGAGGCTCAACCAGAAAGGTTTCTACACATAGACGGAAAAAACAAGAGGTGTTTTTGACTGCATGTGTTTCCTTCCTCGCATGTCACAATGTTTACACAAATGCCGCATCTGGAGCGCAATCTTGCACCAATAGCGACAGGCGTTGGAGTGGCCTGCGTGGCTTCGCTTCGGGGCACCATGCGCCTCGTCTATAGCGGCAGAGAACGGGATGCACGGAGATGAGGGGACGAGAGATGTGACCCGCGATCACTATGGGAATTGCGCATGTTTGCCACATGTCCAGTCCCCACGAGTGCCCATAAACACAGATGCACATGCTTGGGATGTTCGTTCATGCAGGTTCAATTTGCGGCGATGCCAGCACCGCTGATGCCCAGCCCCACGGAGTCGCTTGATGCCCAGCATGCCTGACATATAAGATGCCCAGATGTCGGCGCAAATGAAGTGTGCGTGCGACTGAGATCTGCCGCCGGCGGCGAAAGAATGCAGTTGGTGGCTGTGGAAAGGGAGTTTGTTGGGTCGGGATGCCCAGTTGAGAAGGATTTCCGATTTCGATTTGGAGAGGCAGACCGTGCACTTGTCCGTCACTTGAGTTGCGAGCACATCACGCTGACAGAAGACATCACAACTTGCGGCTTTTGATGTTGCTGCTTCTTTTCGAGGTCTACTGTCTACCGGTAGCAGTCTCTTTCGACGGGTCAACTCGTGATGGGACAGGTTTGCATGGAGAGGGAGCCACGGTCCAAGTTTGGCATGGTCCCTGGCTCGGACCGCAGTTGCACCTGCCCGCACGACAAAGTGGTGCTGTGGGAAAACTTGCCTAGCCTCCTGTCTTGACTTGAACCGTGCTGACACTGGATATAGTTAGCTGCCCTTAGGACCTTAGGAGAACAAGTGTGCGACAAAGCATGGTATCTCTCCGTTATTAGTTTTTACGAAGAAGCACAGTTGAGATCCGAAGCTGCGAGGTTCGAACGTCTTGCCGGCACGCTTGCTCTATGGTCCGCAACAATACAAGAATGTGCTCGACAGAAACGAACGGTGTCAACGTAGTAGTTTCAGAGTTTGCAGAATGACATGGGTGGGCAAACTATCGCATTCCACTCTGTGAGTCATTCCTCGGTGGAACATCACTGAAGCTCGGTTGAGAACATTTTCATTTGCACTCCAGAAACGAATTTTGCTGGCAGGACGAGAGAAGAGTTCGAATCTTTGGAGGAGTCCGCCTGGTGGATGCACGAAGCGCCCGGCACTCTGCAGACACATATATATATGTATATATAAACAGCATACACATATTTGTACATCTGTGCAGACAGACATCTAAAATCACACACAAACATGTGTACAATTACAAAGACATGTACACATATGTACGTATATGTATGTATATATACATATGTAGAAGAACCGGTAACCGCTACACACCGAGGTGTATGGAGCCGTCGGACTTGCGCGCTTACTTCGGCGGTGAGAAGGACACTACATTAGGCTAGCCCTGTCATCGCACAGCATGCTCATGCAGCGACATGTTAACATGGTAGACGAGCAGGCGATGTTCTTGCTTATCCGACCATTGGACACCTCAAGTCACGATGGCAAAAGTTGCCGGCATCTGCCAAGCGGCAGTAACAATCCTTCAGCTGCGCAGACAGCCCTAGACTCGCGGCGCATCTCACTCAATGAATAAAACAAGGCGCTGGTTGATCAAAGTGAAAAATCAGCAGCGCTTCTTGTCGTTGTCAGGAGCTTGCAGAGGCACGAGCGGCAGCAGATGCTTCAGACACCAAGGTCGTCGCACCCCAAGCGAATGTATTTTCTGGGGTGACCCAACGAAGTGTGGTGGCTTTCTTCTTCTGGGGGCTCTCATTGCAAGCCACATCTTTGGCACTGTTAGGCATGGTTTATCCAGTTGACCTTCAACGGAGTGTGCTCATGCTAAGCCCAAAAGCGCAGCCCAATGCAATCACAGGGCACAGCCTCGTCGCCCTGCTCGAGCTAATCTGGTTCTGTCTGCTTTGGGTTGCTGCACCAACTTGTTGCCTTCAACATCTCAGCTCCTGCACTTTTCGTGCGACTGAGGCTTCAGTTGCTTCTGGAAGTAGCGAACGATAGAGAATCGGGCAGGGTCCCATGATCAAGCCATAAGAGTTTCCTGTTTCACCTGCAAGCTGCGGGCAAGCAGGTGGATGGCGGCATTATTCTGTGCCTATATCCACTCAGGGGTCCGGGTACTCCGTCCCTGCGCATGAATCTGTGGAGCAGCACTGTCTTGCGATTCGTCGGTGGCTTCGATGCTATGTGACGCCGTATGCAGCTGCTTCCAGAATCCATAGCTTCGGGAAGCTCTTCTGGCAAACTGAGCGACGGCACAGAGCCCACACTGCATGACAGTTGTTTGATGATTGATCGGCCACCAAGACACGAAACAGGACACAGCTTTCTCAGTGCTAGCTGCTAGTCTTGCTCGCTGAGAATCAAAGACAGCTCTTGGTCGCTCTTTCGCCTAGTGGGTTCCACTTGCTGCTTGAAGGCTTGAGTGCCAATGGCACGTCAGTGGTCGCATCGCATCCAACAAAAGACCTGTCAGCTCCCATCCATCGCAACCCAAAATTGATGCAGTGTTCGTGCCATCAGCGCCAGTCAATCGCTATCAACTTCCAACCGAACCCAATCCGCGCACCAGCCCATCCGCGTTCTCAAGTAGAATTGTCCCCAGTCCGTGCAGCGCCTGCAGGGCCCTGAGCCCGCGGTCAGCACCGAATCGCTCGCAATTTCAGCATCACGATCCGGATGGAAAGGTTTACCCGGACCTTCGACTTCTTCTGTGGACAGAGGCTTCCATGCCCAGATCAGAGCATCCGTAGGAATCGCTGGCAACTTCTACCGTGAATGCAGATCTAGGGAAAGCTCTCATGCTTGCATGTGGTGGTTCACACTCACCTCACGCATAGTTTCATGGTGCCATGAATGCGGTGTAGGGCATGGGCAGAGTCAGGAGAAGTTTTGGTTGAAGGGTGGCCTCCTGCTGACGACAGTCCTCTGGGCCTCTACATGGAGCACCATGCATGCCGAACGCCCTTGTGCTTGCAGCGCTTCCCGCAGATGGTGAATGTGCATGCACGAAAAAGCCTCATTGATAGATGCAGATTGACTACTTGCTACCATGTTGCCACACCTGCAGCACACGAACGTCACCCGAGGAAAGGAGCTTCATAAAATTGCGGCGATATTTCACTTCGTCCGTTGCATGGCCCCTCGTGCGAGGCCATGTGGAAAAGGCATTCCAGTGTACCAGTGCTCAGCTTGTACTTGCAGCATGATATTTGTGACAAACTATGACAAGGTAGAAGAGTTCCTAATACACATTTCTTCGTGCTACCTCCCTAGTTCCTTCGGTGTCCTGCGTTTCTTTCTGAATGAAGCCCTTGAGCGAGGGTCCATCCGTCAGCTTTACGATATGTCGCAGGACAGACACCTTGCTAAACTTAGGTTTTTTCCATATGTACTCGCCCTTGTAGAAATACAGTTCATCTTCTTTGCGAGGTTCCAGACAAGGCCAAGACCAAGGACTGTTGCAGTTGAGGGTCGAGTTGCTGAAACCATGCAATTCTCATGGCTGTCGTTTGCTCAGTCTTGATACTTTTTCAAGCTTTCGCGAAGCAGGGGCGACAGTACAGTCTTCCAAACTGGGCCACCTCATGTGACATGCCCCCACCAAACTGCACTCCCCGACATGCAAGCCTTTGCCAGATTGTCAGGCCAAGCTGCAAGTAACACCGAATTCCACTTGATGCTGACTCCATGTTCTTCAGTAGTTGGCCCTTGCCGATTTCGTTCCGAAGATTCACAGGAGTCGGGTGTGGACCCTTTGGAGGCTGAGCGCGAGCGCATCAAAAAAATGTCAGCCCGTTCCTAAGATCTGAAAGCGGTCGCCAGTCGCGGTACTGGAATGCGCCCTCGGGCTCAGCTGATGTGGCAGCGCGCTTCAGCCCACACAACTGCCATTTCCGGGTGGAGGTGGGCCTAGGACAAGAACACCCAGCAATCTTCCATGATGAGCATGTGATTGCGCAAAGCTGCGAATCCCTAATTCGTGGGACATTAAACTGCTTGACGAAACTGCTTGGGATGTCCATCTGCAATCGAAGAGCACGACAGGTTCGGCTGCAGTTTCACCAGCATGTCTGGTCTCAGGTGAAGGAGCTGAAGGCATACCTCGACAGGCCCGCCGGATTTCTAAGCTTGACTTGTGTAGGCCAGACTTAGCACCGCGCCCCGGATGCAAGCCCTGGTAAGTCACGGAACCCAACTGCAACCACGTCGCGAAGTACATCTGAGAACTGTGATGAACTACAGCGAAAGCGCCGCTTAAGCATCTGCTAGTGCTAGGTCAGGGGGATCAGATTCTTAGCTCTGTTCATCTTTTGGGAACGAACCCTGATAAGAGTATATAATCTGAGGTCTTCGTGTTTCCAGAGACTGTCAAAGGGCCAGGGCGAAGGCCGTCAGGGCTCAGGGTCAATATGACGAACGTGACACTCTCGAATCAACACCCAGGGAAAATAAAGGTCGTGAGGCAGGAACTTCGTTGAGGCACAACACCTCCCATGCTGACCTCTTCGAGAAGCCGGATCTCCTTGCACGCGCAATTGAGGCAGCGAAAGCTGTGAGAAAAACATGGCTAGCTGGTTCTTGCAATTAGTTCAGCAGAAGAGAAGGACGGCAGCCAGTATACCCTCATGGGTAGTCGATAGTCATGCCATACCATCCTGGCAGGTAGCGTTGAAGTCAGGGCCGGAGCCACCACCTGGACCAGCATGGATGAACCTCGGCCATGATACTGTAGGAAATCAGCTCCATCTCCTCCTTGCAAAACCCGGGCGGCCAGGAATCAGTTCATTGAAACACCGCATGAGCTGTTCGACGGGGAAACCTGGTTGTTGGAATTGCACAAATTCCCTGAGTCTACCGCAACCTCACTTGCAGTGTCTTTCTTTTGATGCCAGCTCATCAGCCTTGGCTACCCTACTAGCTTCCGACAAGACGAGATGTAGGATGTCTGTGCAAGGCGTGCAGACTGGAAGCTGTCTTTGCAAGAGGACCATCACTGAAGTGCCAGCATGATGCACCACTCCTGCCAGGTTTGAATGTTCGGTTACCGGGACGATCTTCCAAGCATTCACAAATGTAGATGCATTCCGAAGCAGACTATGATTTCTGTGGAATGTTTATTGCTGTACGGCACGGGCATGCTGAGGAAGTCCGGCGACATTTGCCGTTTGTGCGGGAAGCCGCAGATGCAGGTCACCGGAAGACGTGTGAGAGTTCCTGCTTGATGTCTTGCCTTCCTGACCAGATTGTGATCGAGCTGTTACTTTAACGCGTGTAGAATGCGTGAAACTCTAGTCAACCACAATGCTGCACATAGATGCATTTGTCAGCTGTGCTAAATAATGCGTGCCAGTCTCTACTCACGTCTTCTGCCGAGTGCGTGTCATTCCGCATTTTCTGTCATCTAAATTGACACGATCGCTGTCACGATGTAGCAGAACATGAGGAGAGGATCATGCGTTGATCATGAAGCCAACGCGCACACTGAGCTCGAAAGGCCTCCGGTGGACGCGCAATGTGTGCAGTCAACTTCAAAATGCTGAGCCCGTATTTGCGACAGCCAGTGATCTGGTTTCATGATCAGCCTATGAATCTCATCGGTCCATCGTGTTGTCGGGGTGTCAGATTGGCTGAGACATGTCCGGGACTCGTTTTGCATGTTAATCTGAGAAGTGCAATGCTTGCAACCGCGTTCACATGAACACTTGCTGCCCACTGGAACTTCCACAGCGTCGCTCTCCGCTTCTTTTTCGCGCATTCTCAAACTGGGGTCTTCAAGGTTTCGGGCAGAAGTCTTCTGCGGATTAGCATTTCTCCCTGGGCGGGTTCGGGAGGGTCAAACATTTCAGCTACAAGTTAAGTCCTGCGCAACGACTGGCAGCGCATCGTGTTACTGCTTGCTTGTCATGTGCAGCATGTATAGTCTCATGCCCGACGCATGCCTGACACACGATGGCACACGACATGCATTGGCATCGCTGACGCTCTGCTTTGCTCACCCCAAACCTGCTCCGCAAACAAACCTGCTCGGGACGTCTTACGTGCTACACACACATTTGCAAGAATGCCGATTGCCTCATAAAACTTGATTAGACTGTGCAAGCTGTGCTAACAGCTAGCACCGACGAAACCCTCAATGCACCTTGGTGAACTCAGCCGGAGCACATGAGGGCATGACAAACAATACCAACAGTGGAGGACATGCTGAAGTTCTTGAGCAAAAAAAGTTTGTTTCCAAGGTTGCTGGCAGTCGCTTTCCAGTCTCGATCTGTGTGATAAAGCTGTCCGCGAAAATTGCTGCGCAGTCACGTTCGCCAGACGTCGTCTAGCTGAAATGCAAAGTCTGCAACTGCAAGATACTCCCGCGGGGCTACTTGGACGGCTGGCAGAGCTTTGTGGTGCACAGCAGGATGAGTTGCTACTTCGGGCAAACCTCGGTCGTTCTCAGCTGCAACGGCAACAAGAAGATCACGAAGCAGTCGGAGCAAATGTCGCCTTCGAGGGTGCGTCAATCAGTTTGGCGCTGCACCAAAATCGTGGTGGTTTTGTTGCTGTGCTCTGCGCAAAGACATTTCTTGCAACAAGTGGATTTTCTTGCGGAACATGTTTGACGGGTGTGGGGCAGTGTCGTAGTTCCAGGCTGGTTTTATTGCTTGCGCGTGATCTTGCTTTGAGCTTTCTAGTTCACACACCAAGGCAGAGATACTTGACGGCTTTCCGTTGTTGCTTAAGAGGTTGAGAAAGCGTCGCAAAGTCCGTGTTGTTTTAGTAACTTTTGCGTGTCATGCTTGGGTGAATGCAGGCCAGCAAGAGACGGTTCTGAGTTTTATGAACGACGCCAAAACAAACGGAGCGAAAACAAAGGTTCTTGGCATACTCATGTGCAAAAAGCTAAGTGATCGCCTGCTTGAAGGCACCTTGGGCTCAAGTTGAAAATGGTGCTTGTCAGTCTGATTGTGGTCGTCTAACCTCTGGCCCTCAGCCGAGCTGGGCAGACTTTTGTGTTGCATCGGTCCTGGCCACAGACACCCCAAGCGATGCTGTGCTTACCGCCGCAAGGAAGGCGGCGTTGGCACAACTGCTACGGTTGAATGAAGTTTGGAAGCCTGCCCAGGTCAAGTAAGTTGTTTAGCCGTTGACATCGGGCGGCATATCTCATTCGCTCACACGCTACTATGTCAGACGAAACCGTCTTGAATGCTCATTTCGCAATGAGGCGTCCATGGTCCTCCGCAGGCCGTGTATGTCAAGATTCCCACAACACTTCCAACCGCCTTCATTCAGTTTTCCCCGGTATAAGCGAACAATTTTAGTCCGGATCCCGTTTCATGTTTTGCCCTGTCTGCCTGAACACGAAAGATCAGCAGTTCTCTTCAAGCCTCTCGAACTTCGCTGGCGATTCCGAAGATGTGAACCTGCCTTTTGTGCATGCAGCATGTTCTGAAGCTATCTGCTTGTTGTACGAGTATCGGGGGAACGTTGGGCAAGAATGCTGAGTCGTGTGCTGCTGTGATTCTTTTCGCACTGTCGGTCCTTATATCTATCTCCCTCTGCATGAAACAGAGTTCAGTTATATCTCGCAAGACAACCTTGTGAACAAGTTCTTAAAAGCTTAGCCTTCCTCCTTTCCTCAGGATCCTCGCACATTAAGCCGAATGAAGCCAATTTGCTCTAGTCGCTGAAGCGGTTCGCTACCCAATGTATTGTGCGTAAAGTTTCCGCGACTGTCCACTCTAGGCGGCAATCTCCACTCATTCACGGGTCACGGTCACACGTATTTTGTCAGATCAGATCAACTTGTAGTTTCATGCACAGCGTAGCAAGTGCACAACTCGAGGAAGCCGGACACTGGTGTTTTGGAGCAGGTAACCTGCCGTCATTTCCAGTTTGTTTTCGTGGTTTCAGTGATATCCAGAAGCGAGTTTGGTTCCAAGTGCGCCGTGTGTTCCTTTCTGCAGGATGAAGGTGGCGTCTTCTGCAGACGAAGACGGAATCCGGACTGCAATTTGGCCATGCAGCTGCACAGCTGCACCGACACCACACAATTTTTGTGAGAATGCAAGTTGGTGTTTGCAGGATACATCATGAAGGTCTATCTAGTTCAAGCATGTCATCTGGCAGCGAAGACGGATGCCGCGAATGGCCCAGCTCCATTGGCTATAAAAGTGAAGTGTCAGCAGGCAAGACGGCAGGATCGCCGGCTGTGGAGAAGCTATTTGCTGGCGGCATGCAACTGAGTGGGCCTTCGCCCTTTGCTTGTTGATGTTGACGTGTCAGTCATGTTGCAAGCACATGCTTAGACTTGCAAGCACCCAGTGTTGGGTTCTTCGGTTCTCGTCTTGCAAGGTGCATGAAGCGAGCAAGTGCCTCAGAAATCTGGAATTGTTCGTATCTCACATGGGCCTTGGATGGTGTTGGAAGGTTGTAAGCCGCTTCACATCAGGCACCCAAAGATGCATTCGGCAAAGTGCGATGCACGAAGGAAGAGCCGTGACCCCGGACCGAGGGTGTGCTAGTGCTAGCCAAAACTTCAGTAGGTGTCAAGGAGGTACCGCCGCGAAGAGTGCTTCCATGCCTTCAGCGTGCTGCCAGCATGCCCCACACGCCGGGTAAGCACTGGTCAGCTTTCAGTAAGCTTTGCCATCCACTGACCTTTTCGCGCCTGTGTCTACTTCGTCACCGTCGACCGATTCATTTTGTTAAGCACCTGGTGTAGGAACGTCCAGGAGCATGCGCAAGTCACAATGTAACGCATCGCTCCCCCCCAGGTTTGCTGGGCTGGGCGAGGACTGATCTGACAGTGCTTCAGCGAACCGCACAAGAACCTTCAAACGTGAACTTGCACATTGTGGGGCAGTGGTTTTGTCCTGCCATAGCAACAATCGACAATCTGTCGCTGCGCATCTATCACGAGCGAACAGAGAACTGTCTGAGCTGGCGAAGGAACATACATGCATGTGAAGCTGCACATCTGCGGTCAAAGGCTTCAACGTCCAGATCCCTTTCTACCTGCCTTTCCACTTCTGCAAAGCAAAGTGCATGAGAATTCGTGCGGCGACGACTGACACCAGGAAGATAAAGAAACCCGTATTCCTTGCAGGATGCTTGGTGGATGCATCAGCATTGCTTCGAAGATGGAGACTGGCAGGCCTACAATACTGAGAATCGCGCAGGCTTTGACATCTGATTTCCTCTGCAAATTTGCAACGCTTGCCAACCCCCCAGTGCACAATCGCTGCCAAAAGAAGTCGGTATTGGTACCATGTGTTCTTGGCACAAGTCGGTCAGACTCAGAACTCCCTCAGACGCTGTTCCAAGCTTCATGCCCACATCCAGGACTATTTTGGTGAGCCTGAACCGGAGGAGGAACGATGGCGGCGAACAGGAGAATCGAATTGGTGACCCAAAGGCGTCGGGGTGGACATTTGTTGAGTTTAGAGGTTTTCGGGATGGGAGTTCAGCTGGGAGAGTACCTTTGCAGCGCTGCGAATATATTTGATAAGACATAAAATTTGGCACACAGATATGTGGAAATTTAATTAATAATGAATGTTATGCTCTTAAGACTCTACTCATGGAAGATACGTCGTACGAAATTAGAAACTTGAGAATATTAGTGTATACTTGGTATTCGTTACGAACTGGGTTAAAATTAATTCATCATTACGTATGTGTATATATATATGTGTATACATATTTATATATATCTCTTTCTCTCATATTCGAAATATCTCGATGGAATGTGGTTATAAGAATATCGAGCATTAGAATTGAATATTAATCACG